GATATAGCATTAGCACCCAAGCTAATACATATATATGGCGATATAGCATTAGCACCCAAGCTAATACTGTAAGTTTCTGAGCTAATATAATTATGGCGCTATAATATTAGCTCGAGCTAAAAATGTTAGCTCAGGAACTAACACCATAATATAACTAATGCGTGGTGTTATACCTAGCTAGTGCTTTATACGTAATAACTGTTTTATAGTTTAAGTAGGTGTTTACCAAATAATGTCCAATGTTAAAACTAGTCGTGGTTCCCTTTAAAAGAAAAAAGGCTGCCCTTGGGTCAGGACAACGCACCCAGTTATTAAGGTTACATGCTCGTAATAAAGTATAAGGTAAATAAATATAACAGAGTGAGTGTTCGTACCTCATGTGCGAGCATCCGGTGCAGCTCTTCTTTGCTGACAGTCAGTCTCTCTCGATCGGTGCTGTCCACGACCAGAATGACAATCTGTAAAATAACAAAAAAGCAGGGTTAAATCACAGATACATGTTACTTAAGCTTTAGGAACTCAGCCACGTAATGCTGTATTTCATTTTTTTAGTTTTATTTTTGCCTGAGATGGGAAAAAAGTACCTCAGTGTTGCAGTAGTACGAGTACCAGCTGGCCCGGAGACTCTCCTGTCCTCCGATGTCCCAAACCATGAAGTGAGTGTTTCGAACATTGATCTCCTCAACGTTGCTGCCGATGGTGGGTGACGTGTGAACAGCCTCTTTTGTCAAACTGAAAGCGGAAAAAAAGAAATTAATCAAAAATTAGACCAAATCAGATCAACTCATTAATAAACTACTGGTTAAACAAAATACTTACAACTGGTAAAGGATGGTGGTTTTCCCAGCGTTGTCCAAACCCACAATGATGACTTTGTGCTCTGAAAGGAAAGTCCAACAATGTTCAAATAAACCTGCTGACTTTCCAGTTGTGTAACTTCATTCAGAGATAAGATAAAATGATGAACTGAGCAGAAAATAACCAAACTGAAGCTTAACTAAATAAAATTTAAATATATCCTCCTAGTAAAAGTTGTTCCAACTTATTCATGTATACTGGAGTTTGTAGAGGTTTTATTACAACGTAAAATAAATAAGAATGAAAGTTATACAGAAACTGAAGATTTACCTGCGTCTCCGAACACCGCCATCATCTTGGTGAGCAGGAGTCCCATGTTCAACAGGTGGGTGAAGGACAGAAAAATAAATACCAGGAATAAAAAGAGGACAAACTTTACCAAGTCAACCGACGACTGACAGAAAACACTCCGCTTTCTACCCTTTAAACCCTGTCTCCGCTGCGCTCGCACCGTTTAAAAGGAGGCGCTTCAGAACAGAACAACCTCGGTGTTCAGTGTTAGAGATGCGTTCAATTGTCGTGGGAAATCTTACAACCGAAAGAGATTCGTTTTATGATCAGTCGCGACATTGATTAAATGTAAAATACATACYTTGTATACAGTTATTTTTGCTTCTAATAATTTTTAAATATATTTAAACTTTATATGTAAGTTAATGCACTTCAACTGTTTGATCACGTTTTTAAGATGGAAATGAACAACACCTTAGATTTTCGAGATTTTCATGAAGTACCTGAAAGCAGCCCTACGAGCAAAGCGTCAGCCGTAACTGGTGACGTAAGAACGTTTTTTTCAAGCCAGAAAAGGGAAGTGATTTGTTCTCTCAGCGGAACAGAAAGCAAAAACTTAGAATAATAAAAATAAAAATAAAAAACCCCAGAACTTTTCATTGGACAGTTCGGGTATTTCCCAGTTTATCAGTTAACAGATTTTATGATGTGTTTCCACCTCGTTTAGGTGTATACATCTAACTSGATTATCTAATCAAACGCTCATATTGTTTTATATTTCATGAGATATTCACTTTCTTTTAAATTATAATCAGTTTGGTTCCTGATGACTTACAACCAAAAATAATCCTCAAACCATACTTTCTATGAAAAGTTTATCAGAACTGTTAAAAGTTTAGGTCCTCTGGACAGGTACTTACTGAGTAAAATGTAATTGTAGAAGACTTATTAGTATTTGCAGCTGCAACATTAACTGTGAAGGTTCCAGTTAGCATTTTGCTACTTTAAAATTTTAGCTACTATTCTGCTCTTTTTAGCTGTCAGCTACAATTTTGCTAACAGCCACTGTTTTGCTGATTTTAGCTTACAGTATTAATCTGTTCTACTACTTTTAGCTGTACTTTAGCATCTCTTTTGCTGATTTGACATGTAATGCAGACTTCAGCTTCTGTTCGGCTGCTTTGTAATTTTTGCCACTTTTAACCTGTTTTAAGCTAGGCAATGGTTTTGATGGATTTAGTCTCTAACAACTGTTTGACTACTTTTAGTTTTCAGCTTCTGCCCTATTAAGTTTAGCTTATGTTCTGCTCATTTTAACCTGTGTTCTGCTCATTTTAACCTGTGTTCTGCTCATTTTAACCTGTGTACAGCTCATTTTAAKCTGTGRYCAGCTCATTTTAACCTGTGTACAACTCATTTTGACCTGTGTACAGCTCATTTTAACCTGTGCACAGCTCATTTTAACCTGTGTTCTGCTCATTTTAACCTGTGTTCTGCTCATTTTAACCTGTGCACAGCTCATTTTAACCTGTGTTCTGCTTATTTCAGCCTTTAACATTTTTTATTTCTGCCTGAAACTCAACCTAGTTCTCTGAAGAATGTTTAGAAGTTATAAAACACAGGAACCTGTTTAATACTTGTTGTTTTGACATCACACCCGCACCAACTTGTTGACCTCAGCAAGCGAAGCGCTGAGCTAAAGCTCTTGACTGTGTCGAAGCTGCAAACCACAACAGTGAAGTTTCCAACTAAGCAAAACATCAGCAGCCACAGATGATTAGAAAGGAACAGTCAGAAGTAAAAAAAACTTCCTGTTCTGACTTCACCTAACAAACACCTCACGTGTCATCAGAAATATGCAACAATTTGAGCTTTAGACTTAATATTTCATCATATTTATTCATCTCAAAGGTTTCCTCTGCAGCACAGGAGAGCCAGGTAAATTAGAAGTGTGTGACGTTGAACTTATCTGAGACATTTTCATGAAAAGGCAGTCAGGTCCTGGAACAAAGAACATGCTCTCCCTGCAGGGTGGGGTCACGTTTGGGTGAAAAGATTTCCATCAGATTTAAATGTTTGACATCATAAGGCCTGAGGACTGGCGCTGATTGACTGAGACAACAGAAGAGTCGACACACAGCCTCGTTTTCTGATTAAATTTTTAATTAAAATATGAATTTATCCACAGATTAAAAATGAAAGGCAGAAAAAAGCAAAATGTAGCTACAATCAGGCACCAATGATACATGTGGTTTCATAATTTTTAACAATTGCAATAACGCAACATTATTTACCGATTATTTTTTTAAATATTTACTTATTAAACTGAAGACAGGGGCGAGCTGGAGCGGCCCACCAATGACATTCATGGATTTTAGCTCCTATCCTCCCCCCTGCATGATACTCCTCCTTCTACCTCACAACAACTGAAGTTTCTTTTTTAAAAAAAAGTTGCAAATGTTCACAGGAAAACAAAAAGTAAAACACAAATTCAGTTAGAAATCAGGATTGAGAGAAGAGCCGTGTTTAATGTCGGACAAGCGAGCGATTTAAGTGGAAGTTCGGAGTGATTAAACCTCACACACGAGTGCTTTTCATATCACCGTTAGCGCTTCAAGAACAGACAATAAGGCTGGTGCAAAAGAAAAAAAAAGGAGACAAAAACAGCAGCAGGCTACGCTTCAGAGTAGCCACGAGACACGCAGAGACAAAAATAAATAAAAACGTGGTACGAAAACAGGTGTGACAAGAGTTAAGACGTCCCACCCGCTGGTGGACATGGCTTGGCGAGACATTCCGGCACTTGTGATAAGGAGTTTCTTCTTGAAATAATTGTGTCTTGAGGGTGGGAGCGACTAAGGCAGGACACGTCGTTCGCACCGCCGCTGCACCGAGGGGGCGTCCTCTGCGCCCCGTGAAGGCCAGACGGGAGGACCGGTCCAGGCCTCTGCAGAAGCCGAACCGAGTCAGGGAAGAAGAAGACGTAAACATCTTTGGAGTGTTTTTATTTTTTTGTGTGTGTTGTTGTTGTTGTTGTTCTAATCGAGCTGACGTGAGCGAAGCCGAGTTTACGAAGCCTCGGTTCCAGAAACGCTGAGGAGTTGTGAAAAATGAGAATAAAACCAGAAACACAATAAACATGTCAAAAGTTAAAACGTGGCGGCAACATGTCTCAAAAACGCTGGGACGTTTGGAGTTTTTGGTAGAAACTTTTCTGCAGAGGTGGGCACATTTCCGCTAACAGCAGAACTAGCTTCTCATTTAGCAGATTAGCCTTTTTGCTAATTTTGGAAACGTTAACAGACTGATGCTCACAAATGTATAACTTATGTTTTTATGTAATTTATACCAAATTAAATAAAAATAATCCCCTTTTACAAGCAGTGCTGGATGTGTCAGGCATCGTGTGTTAGCATGTAGCATCTTTAGCAGCTAAATTTCAAACTAAGAGCGTAAGAAAGAAATAAAATAACATTTTACAACATTTAAATAACAAATACAAAAACTGTATGTATAAAATATGATAAAGTATTTGTTATTTGTGGTTTGACTAACTTTAGTCAGTATTTATACGATCAAAGAAATGCTTTATTTTGAAAAGGGTACACTGGAAGTATCACCCACACACCTTCAAATGAAATAGAAAGCTAACAGCTCTTCAAGTGGACAGAGATGACGACTGACAATCGTGTTAGCAGTTAGCATTAGCTTACAGTAATTTTCATCTGTTTAGTGGTTTAGCTTTAGTGGAGCTAAGATTCTTGTTTAGTGGATTAGTGGTTAGTGAACCGAACTCTTTGCTTAGCTGTGAACACCACCGATAATTTAGTACGGAGGACATAGTGTCTGTGTTTTGGTTGAGATGGTGTTCACACATGACTTCCTGTTTGCACGATAGAGCTTTAATCATTATTTATGGATGGCACAGCAAACTGAGGGGATATTCAAAGTCTTCAAGCTTCCATTGAGAAACATTATTCTGAAATTTTCCACTGTTTTTAGATTTAATTGTTTTTGCAGACTAGTGAACCTCTGCCCATTGTTACTTACTAAAATACACTTTATTGAAAATTATTGTTGAAAATATTCCCTAAATCTTTCTTAATTTTACAGCTGTTTGATGCTCCTGTCCCCAAATTTTTGAGTTTCAACATTTGAAATGTTTGGTTTTTTTCTATTCTAACATTTTGATTTTATTAACTTTTTCCCACAATTCCCATGTTTTTTAGAACCGGGGTTGTAAAAAACGGCAAATTCTTTACCATTTTTTTAAGGTCCGAGCGATAAGAGAGTGAGAACGAGAGGCTTCCAACTTCCGGATCCCAAAGTTCCCCGGAAGTTAAAGGTAGAACAATCTAAAGAGAGACCCTGATACGACACAAACGGTGGAACGGTGACGTTAGACCCTGTTTAAGACATGACAGACCACAGCCCCGTCAGCCTTCAATGCTCTACAACCCAAGGAGAGGTCGGGTCGTACGGATTACAGTCACAGATTTAGAACTGTAGCACGCACTGCCCCTTTGTGCTGTCGGGAAAGAAATCCATGATATTCATGCAGTTATTAACAGAACATTTAATTTATTTCTCCAAAACATAAATAACTCAGTTTGCAAGAACTTGATGTGGCAGTTGAAGTGTAGATTTACATTTTACTGGGATGTAAACACGGTTTTGTTGGCCCCAAACCCACATTCAGCTCCATTTGAGAACCAGAACCTTTTCCGTCTCCGCGTCCTTCAGTGGATGTACACGTCCTTCCCCCAGTCGTCCTGGTTCTTGTTGCGGCCCATGTTGGACCCGGTGTCCACGGGGTCCTGGCAGTAACGCTCCCTCAGCTTGGCGCGTCCGTGCAGCGGCTGAGTCTGGCTCGGCATCGAGGGGTGGTTCAGGTTCTCCTGGTCCGGCTCGGCGCCCTCGTCCTCCCAGGAGGCCTGTCGGCCYTGATGCTGCGCCAGGTGGAGGCGGCTGCCTCCGCCCCCTCGGTACGGCTCGGGCTCCTCGTACGGGTCGGTCTCGATGTCCATGCAGGAGTCCCCGGCCTCGGTGTAGGCCGAGTCCCGGCTGCCCTGGGTCTCCGAGTCGAAGGTGTCCTGCCGGGACAGGCCTCGCCCGCTGCCGCCCCGCAGCTGACCTCGCGACGACCGCAGGTACATCTGCTGCTGCTGCTGAGGCTTCCCGCCCAGGTCCGTCTGGTAGTCGTGCAGGGCGCTGCTCCCGCCGCACTCGGTCAGAACCCCGTCCCGCTTCTGCTCGCCGTGCACCAGGTACGGACCCTGCAGCCAATCACACCCATGCCACACACAAACCATGCAGAGACGCAAACAGCAGACCAAACCGTCAGTCGTTAGAGTCAGCAGGCGGTGCCTTTAAGAAAAACACAAGATTAACTTAGTTTAAGGTGGAGTCAAACCATTTTAAAGGATGTTATGGATAATCTCGTGCAACATTTTGTGAGCTTGTGAGATGTGGTGTGAATAACTCACCGCACACAAACTTTAGCTTAAAGGGATCCACGATTAGTTGTAACATGAAACTTTATTTGATAAACAAATGTTTAACTGTAAAATAAAGACTGCAAAAATACTGTAGTCTGCTTAGTTTAGTAAACTTTAAAATATATATTTTAACACTGACTGAGCCATTTTATTTACACGCAAAGCATTCTGGGTAAATGATGACGTGGATAGGTCCTCGGTGTGAGCGAGCTATATCCACCCTGAAGGTTAATCTTGGACAATATCTGATGATCGACTCTTTTAAATGAAACCAGAGAGCGTTGACAGAGAGGAGAAGGTAGAAATGACTCAGCCTGGAACTGAAAATATGGATGGAGGACAACAGAGCTGCTTCATGGAAGAACAACCTCAGCTTAGCCTGTTAGCTTTAGTGCAGATGCTATATTGCCTTATATGTATTAGCTCGGCGCTAGCACAACAAATTAACAAGCTAAACTGAGGTCCTCCATCCATATTTTCAGTTCCAGGCTGAGTCATTTCTACCTTCTCCTCTCTGTCAGCGCTCTCTGGTTTCATTTAAGAGTCGATCATCAGATATTGTGGTAGATATAGCTCGCTAGCAGCCTCGCACCGAGGACCTATCCATGTCATCATTTACCCAGAATGCTTTGTGTGTAAATAAAATGGATTTGTCTGAGTAATATATTTTTAAAAATTTAGTTTAAAAATTATGAAAACTGAACACCCTACAGTATTTTTACAGTCTTTATTTTACAGTTAAAATAAATGTTTATCAAAAAAAAGTCTAATYTTACAACTAATCGTGGATCGCTTTAACGGCTAAAATGACTTGTTATTTGAAACATCAGTGAAACGAGACTAATTTTTCTAAAATCACTTCAACCTGCAAAGCAAAAATGCAAAACGAAATGCCTTCCAATGCAACACCACCATCTGCTGGCTGCATGAGCTCATAGCAAATAAAGTAATATTTTTGATTGCCTAAATAATCGTCAACTCCCAGCTCAACGTTACATGGTATTAGTACTTTAAAAAAACAGAGTATCTTCTACATTTTACTGCTGTTGTTGCTCTAAAGGTGTGCATTTGTGTGCAAATGGTAGACATTCATCTGTTGCACCGTAAAGTGATTTAACAGCCCAAAGCTCGTTAGGTTAACGAGTAACCAGCAACAACCGGGACGCAGCAACAAACTGGATTAGCCGGCAGGTGAATCGATTAGGCCGAACAAACCGAAGTGAGCCCCGCTCTCTGAAGAGGCGGATGTGACTTGCTGTTTTCAGGGGCGGTACCATGGCAACACGGAGGAGGAAGGCAAACTGGATTCTTCCTCTCGGAGAAGAAAATGTGGCGGAGAAATGAGGCCGCAGAGATAACGAGGGGAGGGTCGGGGCAGGAGATATTACTCATGACTGTGGTGAAAGGGGCGGGGTCTGGAGGAGCATGGAGGGTCCGGTTCTTCGGGTCGGGCTGTTTTCTTCACAGTGTTGAACAGAACGGAGACTCGTTTTAATTGTAGGTTTTCTATACTTGCTACGCTTTATCACATTTTTGTTGTTTCCTGAAGAGGTGTTTCTAATCTGGATCTGTCCGCATGAACAGGTTTTTTTTTTACTTTGAAAAAGCCCAGAAGTTTGGGGTCAAGTTGCCGGAGTGTGCCCCCCTTCCCTTCGTCTTCAGACAGCGTGCTCCTCCTCTCTCCCCACAGCACCGTCCATGTCAGGCCACAGATCCATGTTCCTGCGCAGAGAGGTGAGCACCTGTACCTGCAGGTTGGAGACGGGCTCGGGGGAGGCAGCCAGGGCCGCCGTGGCCATGGTGCGGTTCAGCAGAGGGTTGGGGGGGTTGCTGCTCGGCGGGTGTGTCGCCTTCCAGTAGGCCTCCAGGTAATCGGCCAGGTGTTCGCACGCATCCTCCAGCTGGTTCTCGTCCAGGATGATGTCGAACAGCTCCTACGCCGCAAAGCAAAAACACGATCACTGTTTGAGGTACGACCTCGCAGTTCTTCTCAAGAAGAAGCTTAAAGCAGGACCTACAGGTGGGCACTGAGCCAGCTTATCAGCTGCAACCATCTGCACGTTCAGGTGTTTCGCCTGCGACTTTCCTCTGGATTTAATGAGCCGCTGGAGAACCTGAAACACAACAAATTACACAACGTTCATCCCTGAGATTAGGATTATTCCTGATGTTTTTTGTGGGACTCTCAGCTACTATCACATCAAATTTTAGCTCAATATCTGTAAAACTAGAACTTGACCAGTTCCTGATAAACTCGAGTTATTGATTTGAGTCCTCTCACTCCAATTCCATCCATCTATCAATTATCTATACCCGGTTTATTCCTTTTCTAGGGTCACTGGTGCCCATATCCAGCAGTCACAGCCTTTCCCAATCAGTGGCTACACCCTCGCCCTACACACTACACACTACAGTGTTGCGTATGTTTGCGTACGTATGTTGTGGGTGTTTCTGAGAAACTGAGACGTTTATTTTCTAAACATGATGTCCCAGTGGCTTTCAAACCCCAAAACACATTACGGCAAAGGCTGGTTCACCCCAAAGATCCGGTMCCCCGGCARAAAKWGAGCAATGTTGTATATGCTGTTAAGTGCCAGGAGGACTGCGACCAGTTATACATCGGGGAAACAAAGAGCCACTGTTCAAAAGAATGTCCCAACACAGACGAGCTACATCTAATGGCCAGAACTCTGCAGTTTTCASTCATTTACAGGCCAGCGGTCACTCTTTCAGAGATGAGGATGTTCTCATTCTTGATAGAGAGGAACGTTGGTTTGAGAGAGGAGTTAAAGAAGCCATTTTTGTGAAGAAAGACCGTCCATCATTAAACAGAGGTGGAGGCCTCCGTTTTCAGTTGTCCCCCTCCTACAGTGCTGCTATTGCCAGTATCACTCCACCCCCTGTTAACAATAGGTGTTAATTAGGTGTCAACGATAGCCATGTGACGTGAGTATCAGTCACATGGAAGCAGGGCTTAAAAGCCTGAATTTTGCCTGAAACTCTCAGACTGAAGTCTCTTGGAGGAGAGAAGAAACATTTCATTAGAGAAGAACCCGTCCAGAAGACCTATACAATTTTTTCTTTTTGACTACACACTACACTCACAATCATGAACAACTCGTGACTCAAATAGCCTGGGTTATTTTAGTGATCGACTCAGATTAACCTGGTTGCGTAGAATGAACCAGATTTACCAGATTAATGTAAAACTGCGAGAGATAAATACATTCATGTGCTGGCTGATGATTATCCGCAGGCAGCTACTTTCTGTCTTACCTTAGGCGAGGCTATTTTGATGTAGACAATAATGGGAGCCAGGGAGGTCTTAGCCAGCTGAGAGGGGTGGTTGATGGTGTCTGCATCCAAAGCAACGAGCTGGAGGGTCCGTGCCAGCTCAAAGATACGCTCGATCTCACTCTGCACCTCAGCTGGAAGTCCAGAAAAAAACATAAATACACATAAATATCTCTTCAACGAGCCTCTACTTTGGGCATGTTAGTAATTACTCATGCATGTTGAAGAGTTCTCAGACCATAATAATAATAATACTAAAACAAAGAACACACACACACTTCTCAGCACATAAATCGAACCGGAGCACAGTTTAAGTTCCATTTATGTGAAGCTAAATGGAACACTGCAGCATCCTCATTCAGTTGCCACCCTCAGACGTTTTGTATTTTTATTTTTTCCAGTACATTTTTTTATTTAAATGTCATTATGAAAGGAGGCACTTAGAAATGAGTTGCCTGTGGTGCTTAGCTTACAATAAGGCCACAATTTATCACTAAAACAAAAACAAAAGCCAAAAATAACCAACAAAAAAAAAACAAAGTTAATTCCTGTTAGCGCCAGAAACACAGCAGTAATTACTCGACCAGGTGAGCCATTCATATCTGTGGATGGTTATGACGGTTGGTTTTCATTGTTCCTCAACAACAGCCTGCAAAAACCTAACATTTAAGCCACATTTCAGCCCGTTAATCAGCTCCCGGTAAAGGAGAGGGATTAAAAGTGGAAATCAGGCTCGAGGAGGCGTGCCGCCGCCGACCCGGTGGCAGAGCGAGATAACGGAGGCACCACTCTTGCATGCGTTTTGGCTGCCTGCAGAGGGGCAGAGGGATGAGGAATTAAAGCTCGAACGGGGCTTCTGTGAGTTGATAAGGAACTTTAGCTCATTTAAAAAATATCAGGTTGAGTTTTCATTAACTCTCAACAAAGACTTTTCAAATGTAACTCTTCAATCACGATCAAGCTAATTTTATGAGGTCAAATTTACTGTTTTAAACAAAAAAGGACGTCCTGTTCTTTTTTTTTTTTTTTGAAGAACTAATGTAAGGACGAACAAATCTAGAATAAGAAACAGAATCTGAAAATCTCACAAAACCCTATGCTTCAAACTATCAGATCTTTTTTGACATAAACTCGGGTTGTACGTAAAGCTCCCTCTGCTTGTTTAACCTCTCTGCTGCCCTTTCATAGATGTCTTCCTGCTTGTTTTTTTTTTCCTTTTTGTTGGCTGTCACACAGAAGTATGAGGAACAGAGAAACTTACAGGCAAGCAGACGAGCAGTGCACGAGCAGATGATGAATATAGTTAGAAGACAAAAAAAAAGTGGGAGAAGGAAGGAGGCAAAGAGGCTCGGTTGTTTTGTTGCGAGGAGAGCATACGTACCCAGTACGTCTGAATCAAAAGATAGAGGAAGAGGAGGAGGATGGGTGGAGGGCAGGAATGACAGGATGAAAAAAAAGAAAGGATGAAAGATCAGACTCGTTCAAAGCTGGAAATAAAAGAGTTATGACGAACGTCTGTTGTCTAATTGTGCCCAGGTGTCGACTCTGGAGAAAAGTTTTTATAACTTTTGATTTTTCACCTTGAGTGATTTACTGAATGTTTATCGTAAACTTTTTATTGAAAAAGTCCAAGTTATATTTGTTTCTTTTTCTTGTGAAGTATTTAGTTGAAAAGGGTTTCAAGTGTAAGTTGTAAGAAAAACAACCACTAAAAAGAAACCTGCAAACATAGTAAGTGTTTAAAACCAGAAATGCAACTTATAGACTCAAAAAACAGGTCAACAGCCTGTGGATGCTAAAGTTGAAAAGTTCTCCAAAGATTCTAATGTACCTGGCCTGTGGTATTTTGTACCACAGCAAAAGAAAATGTTTGTGGAAATATTTAAATTAGGATTTTACTCTCAGAAAGTGAGCTAAATATGAACAATGTGTTCAAATTTGTGGTGCCCCGTGTGGGGCAAGCTAACACTGTAAAGATACGTTCACACCGAACGCATTTTGAGCATCTAAAACACGCCAAATGCCTCAAGTTGGACGAGCTACGTTCAGATTGGAACGAAACTCGGCGTGCATCTGGAGATGGTTTTATGGGAGGAGCGTCTTGTTTTTTTCCCTGGTCTGTCTTTAATGGCTGATGAAATAAAGATGAAATGATTTTGCTTTATTTACTGAGAGCAAGTGAATGTTGCGATCACCAGTAATTAATTCACCAGATAATTTAGAAGTGGTCTGTTTGTTGAGTTCACTCCAGGAGCTGTGAGCTGATGAACTATTTTTGTCCCGAGCCCAGTTTAACACCGCGGTCAGTTTAACGAGCCGCTGACCCTCATCAGTGCTGATATCTCCTGCCAGAACACCAACTGCAGACGGTCGATTTCAGCCAAAGTGCTCCTGTCCGTCTGTTTCAGGTTGGTGGGCAACATTAAGAAAACTGTCACGTGGAAAAATGAGTCTCTCTGATTGGTTGACGCAGCACATCGCGCAGCAAAAGTTCAGATTTTTTAACTCAAGCGTTGGCTGCTTTGGACGCACCACATGCACACCAAATGCTTAAACCACACCTACGGCTTCATTGCGCAGCGCGAGACCCCTAGCCACGTGTCCACCATAGACTTCGCATGTAAACCGGCTGCTCCTGCTACTCAAAACGTGTTCGGTGTGAACACACCTTAGGTCTCGAATTTAAAAAACTAATTATTTTTAAGTTATTTTTAAAAATAAAGTTCAAATTACTGAAAATGCAGCTGAAGCATAAACTATCTGACTAAATTAAAACACTCAAAGCGTTATAGATATGAAACACAAAGTGAAATATGTTCAGCGACAAAACACAATGAACAGAGATGTTTTCTCCCCGTTTCTCTCTATGCTGCTTTATGTTTAGTCAGGTCTTGTTTGAATGGTGTTTGTTTATTTATTTTCATTTATTTTAATAAAAAGGAGCTTGTCCTCACCCAGACTGGAGCGGGTGCTGGAGCGCTCGATGATGGTGTGTTTGCTGGGGTTGTTGAGGACTGAACGTTTGGCCAGGGAGATGTCTGCTGTCACGCGTGTGATAGATATTCTGAAAAGCAGAGTTGAAATAGATGAAAAACCAAACAGAGAGCTAATACAGGATGCTTTGATTAGTTTTTATTCTTACCTGCCCTCAAACTTATGTTTCAGAAAGTCAAAAAGCGCTTTCTGCATCATGTCTGTAACCTGGGAAGCAATAATAAAAACCATGTTTGAGGCAAAGTTAGGCTAAACGTGCACGCGTGGCTCATTTTTCTTGCTTACCTCGTAGCCTTTCAGCGAGGGTCCGACGAGGATGATGGGTCTCATGGAGGGAACCACGTCGTACGGGGGAACGTGCTCCATCTGAGCCGGAGGAGAGGAGACGGGAGTGAATCATCTTGTCGTGTTTACACTCAGTTTGACACAGATCAGAGCTACATGCATCTACGCCTCCGAGGTCGGATTGACGTTAAGAGTCGGCGTGTTTCATCTGCGAGGGCTCAGAGACAGCCTCGGTTTCTCAGTCTGCACTCTCGCGTTAATTAAAGTGTCCATAATTAATCCAGACGCCGGAGTGTCAGGAGAGCTCCCCGCTGCTCTTAACACAAACGTCACACTTCGCACTCCTCTCTGTCTTTGGCACCGGATTGAGGCTGTCAAATGACAGAAGGGTTTTCACAGTACAAATACACTGAATTACAACTAAAGACYCTGCTGCCAAAAAGACTAAACCTCCCCTGATGTCTGCATGTAGCTCTCCAGGCTTTCTGAAGGTTTTATTTTATAACGTATTAAAGGAAGGGAGAACTAATGGAAAACAAACCCTTCAAGATGCTTCATTCTTTACGTGTTTGACAGGTTTTCAGGTAAAAACTCAACCTGTTTATGCTAAAATATAATTTTATGTCTCAAACTTTGTTATTTTTGATATAAATTCAACTATACAAACACTTGCATAGTTTTCTGTTTGTCCAAATACTGGTTCATCCTTTGAGCCTTTTTATTCTTGAGGTCACATTTAAGAGTCTTGACAAACATAAAAACAAGATTTCTCTAAAAAAAAGTCATTTTGGATTGTAAATGGGTGAAACAGCCAAAATCCAAAGAAATTATTTAAAAAACCTTGGAAAACTTGAAAAAACAGAAATAAAAATGTTTCTTTCGACCCAAAAGAAGAATTTTTCAACTAATATGATTCCTAAAAACATCAGAAATGCCTTCTGTTTACAGGAACAGGAAGAGCAGACCCACGACTCAGCAACACGTTACATAAAAACTGAGGCTCGTTCACCTTGTTTATATTCACAGGAGCCAGAAATACATCATTTAAAAGCTTCTGAATGGCTCTTGTTAACGAAAAGGGGGCAAAGCTGGAGTACGGAACGTAACAGTGCCACTGATTCATTTGGACTAACACAAAAACCGYTGCACAATTTAGAGAGGTGAGTAGTCAGAAGCTACAATATTTATAGAACAGAGAGAAAATAATGTAACTAATATGTGCAGAAAATATTCCTCCTGTTTTGTTGCTTTATAGTCAGTTGTAAAGTAATAAGGTACAAACACTCAGATCAGCTGTTAGGAATGAAAAGGGAAAGCAGTCTGAAAGGAGCAGGGTTTGAGACAGATTTGAAATGTTGAGAAAGTTGAGCGACATCACGAGACAACGTGATTCAAAGGTATTCGCTGCAAAGTTCAGAATTGAACAAAAAAAGGTTTTCCTGGACTAAATGGTGCTTTTAGAGAGAGTTCGGTCCAGTAGGTTTCCTGATATGCAGATTTAAAATGCGGGTCCACACTCAATGTAAACAAAATCAAACCACATAGAAGCTTAAAGTGCCTATGACATGCTTTTTCTTCACGTACAAAAAATAAAGAAAATATCCTAACTTTTAAGAATTTAAGAAAACTGGCATCATTCACGTTTTTCACCCAGTTTGTCACAAAACGTGCATGTTTTTTGCTGAATATGTTGCAGTCCAAGTGAAACAGGAAGTGATGTCAAAGGGGAACTCTTTTAAAAAAGGGTAACTTCCTGGTCTTTATAAATCTGACTCTTCTTTATCTATCTGATAGTGACTCTGAATAATTTACAGAAACATCTGATTCTTTGCAGTCTGTTGTTAGCTGTTGTAGCAACTCATTCAGTTATTCCCCTTTGACATCACTTCCTGTTTCTGCTTATGCAAATATCTCAACAACTGCTCATTTCAGTATCGTGAATTTTGGTTTTCAGTTCATCATTAATTTTATCTTTCCAAACACGCACTCAAATATATCACTAAAATTTCATGTRACGGGTACTTTAAATCACGACTGTCCAATAACTTTGAGCTGTTTTCAGTCACTTTGGCTGTTTCTGCCGGTAAACAAATGCTCAAGATCGATAAAATCTGCTCAAAAATTCAATCCATTCACCGTTTTTTGTTCGTTATTGTCAGCTTTGCAACAAGTACCTTTGACGTTAGCACTGAGAACAAACACTCACCGACTTCTGTTTCTGTTTAGCCGGACCACCTACAGCATCATTCCACAGAATAGCCAAAAGAAGCACAAAAACAAGAGCATGTTTTGTTATTGACAGGTTAAAATTAGAGTAGAGGAGCTGGTTTTAGATCATTTTAGACAGTATCGGTTAGTTTGACGCCGACAACAGCTGGTTTGATTCAAACACGTCGCAGCTTCATGAAAAGAAAGGGCCAAACAGGGTTAGATCCGGGTTTAGTCGTGAGCGGTTACTGGGAGACTGGGAAAGATTACACCTGACCAGAGCTGGAGGAGGAGGAGGAGGAGGAGGAGGAGGAAGATGTCCCAGGCCCCTGTTACCTTCTTAAAGAAGGGCAGTCGGTGGGCGTTGGCCTGGGGGGATATTACGCTGCCTGACGTGCCCTTGGGCGAGTGAGGGTCACCCTGGGACTCAGGGGGCTCCTCGGCATCCAGGTCAAGCGTTTCAGCATCAAAGGACCCCGTGGACATGTCCACGTGAGCTGAGGACAGAGCGGAAGAGGACGAAGAGGAGAAAGCAAAACCAGGAAGAACATGAGAGACAACAAAAAGAAGGAGAAGGAGACGACAAAAGAAAGGCTGAAAATAAACGACAGGTGCTCGAGAGCGAGAATCACACAGATTATCAGGAGAACAGATGTGTAACAGCAGAGAGGTGAAGGTGAAGTGAGCATGAAATGAGCTAAACTTGAAGTGTGGATGTGAGAGACGTGTGAAAAGTGGAGGAGCTGCGAAACAAACGGATAACAAAAAATAGATGAGAAGAAAAGAAGGAGCCGGACCAAATGTCTCCATTTATTTATCTCGCAAAAACTGATTTACCTTCTTATAACCGTTTGAAACAGGAGAAACAATCCTGTTAATGCCCCAAAAATGGCAAAAACCACAGAAAAGTTGCAATAAGATGCAGCTGCAGGATGACTGTTTACTAAATTATTCAAATTTTCACTTTAAGCAACATCTTGAATGAAGTAACTCTGAAATAACCTCAGTTATTGTAAAATCCGACTCAGACTGAGACTTTCGTTTTTTTTTTTTTTTTTGCCTGCCTCTGATTAACGTGGCCGTCAGGGAGTAACAGACACAGTTTGTATATCAACAGGTGGGCATTTTATCTCATTATTACAAAGTTGATGTTTTAGGTTTAAGGTTTGTTAAATAAAATGTTCTTGAAACTGAAAGAAAATTTTTGAAGCAAAAAAAATTTTTTTAATCAAAAAATAAATTGAAACTGAAAAAATAAAAAGTTCAGAACTACTTTTCAGATTCTAATTTTTTTTTTCAGTTTCAGATTTTTGTTTGTCAGTTCATAATTTATGAAGCCCCGCCCCCTGTTTTGGCATTGGGGCGGGYCCTCAGATGGCTGTAGGTGTGGTATCATGACTGACAGCTCAACACAGCGGCTGCACAAAATATCAAGTAGGGGTCTCTGCAGTCATTTCTGAAGAGTAGGTGTTCTGAAGCATATACACTGATTGGCTAGTTTTTCGAAAAATTTGGTTCTTCTCTTTCATTTTTTCGTTCACTTTTGACTTTAACTACTTTCACAATCATTTTAGCAGCCAAAACTGAGGCATAGGCGTTAATAGTAGGGTGGGAAGGGCCAAATCATTGAATCAAGGGGTTAATTTTAGGGTCAAATGACGGGTAGGGCTAAATAATTCCAATATAGACTTCTAAAGAGTCTCTTTCCAAAGTAAGATTTAGATTTTATTATTAGGTTTTATGAGTCTTTATTGTCCCGCAGCGGGGCAATTAGTTCTCTGCATTTTGCCCATCGCACATGTGAACACATATGTGGAGCAGTGAGGGGTTAAGAGCCTTGCTCAAGGGCCCAAAATGGAGCTGGTTGGTTCGGGGAGTTGAACCAGCAAACTTCTGATCACAGACTCATCTTCTCTAACCTCTTCGCTACGCTAATAACTTAAAGAAACACCAGAGCAACGATCATCCAATCAGGTGGTGTGCTTCGTAACGCCCCCTTTGTGCTCGTCCAATCAGGTGTGTCCCTTGAAAAAAGTTCGTCCAATCAGGTGTGTCTGTTGTGAACCGGCTTCAACTACTCGTCTGCAGAGACCCCTTCTCCAAAATATTTTAACAGGAACCGTGGGAACTAGAAATGTCTTTAAAACTTCATGAATATTCTGTTTATCATCTCGTTTATCATCGTTCTATGTTCATCTGAGGCTCCGCCCACAAAAAACTAGAATGTGGCAAGCAGTTTTGAACTTAAAAAAAATATATATATATATATGTCAGTTTAAATCCCTTTTTTTCCAGTTTAAAAAAAACTGCGTTTAGCAAACTTTATGTCGTAATTTAGCTCCGTACATACAGCTGTTCTTTTTTATGATGATTAATTTTAACATCTCTTTGTTTATCTGTGATGCTGGAACAATCCAGACGCACTGAACTACGTTAATGCCTGCAGTCCGATCTCGTCTTTATTTCAGTCCTGTCCTGAAGTGCTAATGACGGACCTCTTAAGACCCTTTCACTTCACTCAGGAACCCGCCGAGACGCGCCGTGATTCATGTTCCAGACAGTTCACATCTTTATTTAAACGTCAGGCGCGCTGCTAACGAGGCGACCTCACCTGTTCCTGGAGGGGTGGGCCTGCGGGTTCCCGTGGCAACGTCCAGACTAGAACTTCCTCCAGATTTACTGCCACAAAATAAAAACAGAAACAACAAATACAAATAAATGATGTTGAAAGGGAACTTGACGTGGTAAATCAAAGCCCGGCATGTGTCACAGAAMGAAGTGACTCACAGCTTGACGTTTGTTTTAGTTTGTTTTACAGTCACCTGGTGGACGAGCAGTGATTCACGTTTGACCCGTTTCACAAACAGAAGTGTCTGTCGGCTCGTTCGTTCTCACCTGGAGCTGAGCCGGTTTTGTCTCATCCGTTGCTCCTGCAGCTGACGGGTGTTCTCCAGTTTGACGGGGCTGGGAATGAAGCCCACCTCGCATCCCTCCTTCACCAGACGTCCGATCCACCAGTCGTTGTTGTACTTCTGCAGAAACAACAAACGACCAGGCATCAAGTAAACCATAAAGCTCCAGATCCTCAAGCACTGTTAAAGCTATAATCAAACTTTTAGCTAGCCTTCATTGCTTTTACTAGCATTTTGTTCATTTTTCATTTCTGTAAGTCTTCTGTTATTTTAGCACCACTCTAACAAACTGCTCTTTCAAGCTTTTTTTTTTCCACATTAGCTTTTAGGTAGCATTTTGCTCCAATTATGTTTTAGCAAGTTTTCAGCTACATTTAGCTGTAAATTAGCTTTTTGACCATTTTAGCATCTAGGTAGAAATCAGATACTTTCCGGTAGGCTTTTTCTCTTTTAGCTATCTTTAATTCTTTAGCTTTTAGGTAACATTTTGCTACTTTTATTCTTTAGCTAGTGCTCTCTGTGTTTTAGTCTTTAGCTGGTGTTCTGTGTGTTTTAGCCTTTAGCTGGTGTTCTGTGTGTTTTAGCTTCTAGCTGGTGTTCTGTGTGTTTTAACTTCTAGCTGGTGTTCTGTGTGTTTTAGCCTTTAGCTGGTGTTCTGTGTGTTTTAGGGTGTTCTGTGTGTTTTAGCTTCTAGCTGGTGTTGTGTGTGTTTTAGCCTTTAGCTGTTGTTCTGTTTATTTTAGCTTTAAGCTGGCGTTTTTTTATCTGGCATTTTTTAGCTTTTAGCTGGTGTTCTGTGTTTTAGCATTTAGGTGATATCCTGTTTGTTTGTTTAAGCTTGTAGCTAATGTTCTACGTGCTTTAGCTTTTACCTGGTGTTCTTTCTTCATCTTTGCTGCATAAAACTTCATTTTTTAAATCATCAACATTCTCACACAAAATGT